TTACAAGCTCCTTAGTTGCTTGAGTTTTTTCCGTGGTCTCTTGAGATAATGATACGCGGTTCTCGGCATCAATTAGCTCCCCACTCTGTGTGAAACCCTGAGCTAGATACCTTATTTACACGCTTTCTGAGCTACAGTTTAAGTGTGGTTTTTCTTGAGGCTTCACACGTGGGCAGTTTGATCTTCCAAGTGGTGGTGCAGAGGTGGTATATTCTTGTAAGAGGTACATTCTAATGGGACGGGGTTAGGTCATTGAGGCTGTGTCCTCAGCTAGCTTCAGGGAGTTGCTGCTAACAGGGAGGAAGCTATTCTTACCATGAACTTGGGCCCTCAGCTAGCTTCTGAGTGCACGAGTTGCTAGGAAAGACTGGGTCTGATCTCTGCTCCTTTTTTGTCTTATAACCCCCCTCTGATGCCCTCCAGCTACGATTCCATCCCTCTCATATGATATACCCAAAGAAACCCTCACCAGAAACTAACGAAGGCCACTGGATGTTAGATTTATTCCCTTAAAATACAAGCTAGATAAGTCTCCTTAACACCCAGCCTCTGGTATTTTGATATAACAGTGAAAAACAGATTAATATACTCTTAAGTTTTCACAACTGACTTTAGAGGCAATTCTGAGTTCATTTTATAGACAAGAACATGGAAGGTTGGCAAGGTAGCTCTACATATAACCAAGCTCGTTTTGATACTAGTTTGTCTTGTCCCCAGTGAAGTAAAACTTCTCTTAATGCCACAAAGGACTAGGGAGGCTTTGGGTGGATTTTATTTTTACTTTCTTGAGCCCATGCTTCTGCTAGTATTAGATAATGATGGCCCTGCTCTCCCTTGAACTTCTGTCTCTGGTATTCTGGCATGCTGATGGGCTACAGATTTATGAGATACTCTGAGCTGATGGTGACTAAGTAATAGGATGTGCCCATGGCTCAAGTCACCAGTACAGTGCAATGGCAAGTGATACCTCCCACAGATTTGTAACTGTACTATATTATTCATTAAATATTTTTATATCAGCCCTAGTTGATTATGAGTTTGAAGCTGACTTCAGAATGTTGGCTTTGTTCTACATATTACTAGTACGATAAGGACTAGCAAAAGCACTTTTTACTTCTTTCTTTATTTGTTTTTCTGAGTGTGAACATAGGTATGCCACAGCACAGAAATCTGAGGACAATTGTGTGTGTGTATGGGGGGCAGCTCTCTCCCTCTATCATATACACGATAGGGATCAAACTTAGGTCATCAGCCTTGGTGGCCAGCACCCTGAGTGGGCTGTGCCTGGACTGAGATTAATCATGATGATAAGTCAGAAGTGGAGATGAGACATGATATGGTCAGGAGCTGGTGCTTATTAAGACAGGGTCAGTATGGCATAGATGGGCGCTTGGCACCGCTTCTGCCCTGCTGTCGCCATGCAGGGAACCAGCCTCGGAGGTCAAGCTGGGGCCACCGAGGGAGGGCAGAAAGCAGCACCCTTAGGTCCCTGAAGGCCACTTCTGAAGAGAATTGGCCCTAAGCTCATCTCACCTCTGGCCTTTTCAGTTACAGGAGCCAAAAAACTACTCCCTTATTTTTTGAAAGAGTTCAAACTAAGCTTTCCATTTCTCGAACTGAAATCCTAAGGGACAGATTACTAAAACAGGTTTAGAAAAATAAAGTCCATCACCCATGATTCTGCTAACTGGTTTTGTTAGTATTTTAATGTGTTTTTCCAACCTTCCCTTTCCACTGTAGCAATAGGGTTTTCTCACGGTTGAGATGAGATGGTTTGTAAAATTCTGCGCGTAGTTCAGTAATGTTAGGGATAGACACATTGCTGTGGGCCACCGCAACTTTTCCATCCTGCAGAGTGGAAGCTCTACACTAGTTAGACACCCCCACTTCTCCTGGCTCTATGAACCATTTTAATGGTATTATGTTGTATGTAGCTTCATTGACAGTCATTCCCAGTCAGGCATTGTATTGTGGCTTGTTCCTTTAATCCCAGCATTTGGAAGGCAGAGGCAGGCTGGTCTCTGTGAGTCAATCTGGTCTACATGGAATTCCAGGACAGCCAGAGCTATGTAGAGAGAGACCTTACCAAAGAAAGAAAGAAAAGAAAAAAAAAGAAAATGAAAGAAAGCCATTGCTTCTCCTCCCTGTCTTTGTTACTGTTCTTGTTTCCATGAAAAATACCCTCTTTACAAAAGCTGTGTAAGGAAGGACTTATTTCGGCTTACAGTTTGAAGGTAGAGTCCCTCATGACCGGGAGGGCACAGCCGGTCACATTGCATCTGCAGCCTGGATGCAGAGAGAGATCGATGCTGATGCTCAGCTCCTTTTCTCCTTTTTGTTCAGTTCAGGACCCCAGGACACAGGCTGCCACCCGTATTCAAGAAGGGTCCCCCCTTTTCTTTCCAGCCACACCATCATAGACACACCCAAAGATGTGTTTCCAGGGCAATTGTAAATCTGCTCAAATTGACCAGATGAATCATCAAACCTCCTCCGCTGGGTACCTTAGGCTGTACGAAGACGTTTTCATTGCCTCCTGTGCTTCAGCTGATCATCCCACAGGTAGCACTGGCCTGAGGCAAATTTATGATAATTTCTTAGTTTGAGTTTCTGGATATTAAGGAGAATAAATTCATTCAAGGCACAAGCCCAGTGTCAGACACAGACAGTTACACATTCTCAGGGGATGGTTCTCCTATGCAAGCAAAGACGGCTTCCTTGATCCTATCCTTTGTGGGAGGTTGGGGTGGAGAACACTAATTTAGTCTACTGTGTATATGCCATCAATGACACATTCATCTGTGCTCAGCACTCACCGGGATCACACAAATGAACAGCGCCCCACTGTGACCACCTGTGACTGGCTCTGAGGGCTTTCACCGTGTGAGAGAGAGATGAGCTGGAAGTTCTGGGAGTAGTGAAGGATTCTAGAGGCAGTTCTGAGCCAGGGATGAATGGGCTCCACAGAGGAACTTCTACTGTGTTCCTTCCCTCGCTGTCTCTCTTCACTTTCTCCACCCTACTGCAGTTTGGGAACACCATCAAAGACACGGCTCATTCACACATTCCTTTCTACCACAAGAAAGCTGTGCCAAAGCAATCCAAGGAGACAGATCCTGTCATCTGCTAACCCGAGGGCAGTTGTGGTGCACAGTTAGAGGTACACGGGGTGGTGATACCAGCTGTTACATTATCACAGTAATTAAGCTCTTACCTATCCACTGGGTTGGGAGACAGAGGAGATGCTTTGCTATTCAACAGCTCTAGCATCTGAAAGCTACAGGGCCAGTGGTAACCATAGGGACGGCTGAGTTGGTTGTCTATTGTCACCTATCATAGAAACCTAGAAGGAAAAAAAGTAGCAAGCTTTTATATCAGCCTAGTATCACATTGGGACACACTGTGAAAGCCACGGGGCCTGCATAGCGATGTTCAAAGTTATTCTCATCTTCGGTAGCTAGAGGACAAATTGTGCTCAAAAATCAAGCCAAACTTTGATTGCAAGAGTGGCAAAATTACCAAGGAAGATGAGGACTGGGTATGACTCAGAGGTAGAGAGTACTCGCCTGTGTGAGGACCTACGTTCAGTTCAGTCTAACCAAAAAAAAAAAAAAAAAAAAAAGGAGCAGAAGGACGTATAGGACATATAGGATGTATAGGATGTCTTAACAAGTTCCCTAAGTGAGGGTCCTGGTAAGGTGAGATCAGGACCTGGCAGGGGATGAAGCTTTTTTTAAGTGGATGCCTTTAAGACCCTGTAACCAGGCTGGAGGGGTGGCTCAGTAGTTAAGAGCACTGGCTGTTTTTGCCAAGGACCCCGGTTCAGTTTCCAGCACCCACATGTTGGCTCATAGCCATCTGTAACTCCAGCCCAGGGGATCTGACCCCCTCTTCTGACCTCCACAGGCACCAAGCATGCATGCGGTGCACAGACATACCTGCAGGCAAATCACTCAGACACATTTTTAAAAAGTTTTGATTTTTTAAGAGGAAAAAAAAACCCTGATCCTTCGGAGCCAACAGCCAACAGGTGTGTCCGTCCCCCACACAGTCATTTGTTAAGATCACTACCTCCTACTACCACCTCTCCTTGCCTTTATACCGATAGCAAGGGTCACGCTTCAGCACGGCTCCAGTGGGGCAAGACTGGACTAAAAAGGACCATTAACCAAAAGAGCTGCAAGCCACGCTTCACAGGTGGGAAAATATGTATGGGCATGGCTTCTGAGCTTGCTGGACCAAGGATGGTGACCACAGGCTAGGTAAGGAAGATTTCATGATACGGAGGAACTGATAGAAGGAATAGATACTGTACAAAGAATTTGTTCCACGGGCTCACACAGTGATTGGGGCTGAAGAGTACAGTGATGGCTGGGTGCTGGAGAGGTTGCGACTACAAAGCTCGCTGACAGTCTGGAGCTGAAAACCTAGCAGATTTCCACAGAGCCAACGCAATCCATGGTTGAACCTGAAGAATCTGGAGTGTGAAGCCAATGAAGAACGGCTGCTGTGGGGGCTGCAGAGAGTGCTCAGTGTTAAGAGCACTGCTCTTCCAGAGGACCCAGGTTCAATTCCCAGCACCCACATGGTTGCTCACAACCATCTGTAACTCCAGTTCTGGGGGATGTGCCACCATCTGTCCTCTGTTGGGCACTGCATGCATGTGTTACACAGACAAACACACAGATGAAACACTTATACACACAAAATTAAAATAAGTAAATTTCCTTTTAGAAAATAATCCAGCAGGAGGGACAGACACACTCAACAGGAATAAGCAAGATAAGGAAACAATGCTGCTTCTATCCCAGCCCTCGTCATATCCACTGCCCAAAGGCACTTCCCACTCTGGAGGAAGGTCTTCCTACCCAGAAATGGAGACCCCAGAGGTGTCTCTTAGTCACTTTCAGGTCCAAGATTACCCAATCAAGATTACCCAACACCTACCTCTGTGATTTTGGATTAACATCCTGGTAAGGCTAGCTGGACCCGATGCTAATGTAGACTAGCTCCTTGAAGCCTGGCACCTAGATGGTCTGTGGAAAATAAAGTTGAGACATCTTAGCAGAGCACCGAGGAGCAGTCAAAAGACTCCGAGTGCCAAGCGTGCCAGAGTGAATGCATTATATAAAGCAGAGAACCTTCCAGTTGATCATGTTCCCTGGGAGATTTCAGCGGACACTTTTCTCATTAAAGTAACAAGGGATGCGCTGGTGAGGTTGCTCAGTGGAGGCTGTTTTTGGTCCAGGGTTAATGGTAAGAGATGTTCTGCAAAACCGGGGTCCCTGGTGTCAATGAGATGATAGAATTCTGGAATAGCACAAATCAAGCGACAGTGCCTCACCTGTCAAAGTCTGGGTAGGTGTAATTACCAACAAGACTGCAAGGAAATCAAAGCCCGAAACCTCAGGGATCCAGAGCAGTGCTGTTTCTAGGGGTGAGAGATGTGGGTAGCCAATGAGAACACTGCTCTACCTGTGTGACCAAAAGCAACCAAGGGAAGGTGAGGAGAAGGTCGATGACAATGGGAAAAGGCCGTAATTCCCCCATCAAATTCCCAAGCCCAGGCCAGGGTCCAGGGACTGGATGTAAGGGAAGCGTGCTACTTTAAGAGAGGATCCTACAGTGTCCTCACTCCTTCTGCCATCAGGACCTGCTGTCCTCACTCCGTCCCCAGAATGGTCCTAGAGACACTTATCAGAGTGGCGTTAATCCTGGGAACATCTAGATATTTTGAAAGCTGTTGGACATGGGCCTGAGCTGACATCAATACCCTAGGACAAAATACTGTCATTGTCCATTGCTTACAGTGGGGGAGCTTTCTAGAAGTAAGTGTTACATGGAACTCATTTTTCCAGTTCTTGATTGCATAGTTGAGATGGACCTACCTAATACTAGGTTTCCTGGCTTGTGAGATAAGAGGCACTGCAGTATGAAAAGCAAAAATGGAAGTTTCTTAAGCTACTTCCCATGCAAACTGGAGTGAGACTGTATCCTTGCTGGAGTTGAAGGGATTAACACCATTCTTAAGAGCTTAAAATCTGTTGACGAGTTTGTGGGTTAACATAAAAAAGTGGTAGTCATAATCTCAGCTACTGTGCCAAACTAAGTATTTAATTTTTTTAATGTAGTGATTTTTACTTTATGAATGTTTTGCCTACATGTATATAAGTGCCCTGTGGGCATACATGCAGTGTCCACAGAGGTCAGAAGACATTGTTGAATCCCTTGGAGTTACAGATGGTTGTGAGCCACCACATGGATGCTGGGAACACTCCCCAGGTCTTCTGCAAGAGTAGCCAGTGCTCTTAACCACTGAGCCATCTCCGTAGCCCCCAAACTTAAATGTTCTTGCTAAACACATCACAACCTTTGGTAAGTGGTGGTACCTTTTGAGATAGTGAGTGTGCTATTTTCAACCTGTTAGTCTGTAGGTCAAGAGCAGTTTGTAATTGTCTAGGACCAGGAGCAGTGATCATCCATTGCTCTAGAGCCACAGCTACTCCTCCGTTCCCTGTCAACATAGCCCTGCCACAAACAAATACAGCCAAAAATATATCTTCTCGGTGTTCTGGAGAAATGTATGCTGGTCCACCATATGGATAAGATCACATTAATCACATCTAGGAGGGGGAGCTGACAAGTGTTCTGAACGGCACTGGAACCAGAGAGTAAATGAGAACTCCTACAGAAAAAAAATTGAGAGGCCGCCCACACCAATGAAGTAATAATTTAGCTGCCCAACGGTGTGGAATATGCTGGAATAGTCTCATCTAGTAAAGAGGAAATGATTGTGGTTTTCAGCCCTAGCATTAAGAAGGGACCCAGTCACACTTGGAAGGTCGCTGGATTCTGGAGACAGCGCAGACCACGGTTGTAATACTGTTCAGTTCTGTGTGTCAGATGAACCGGAAGGCGCTGGTTTCAAGACGGACTGGAGTGAGTTCCTCAGCACCTTAAGGCAGTGCTATCCCTGAGCTCACAACATGGTGTCAGAGGATAAGCATGCTGCACAGAACCTCTGAGAAGTTCTTCTAGGACAGTAGCAGCACAAACGTCAGGTGCTGAGGAAGGTCTGGTATCCATAACAGAGGCAGCCACCATTGCAACAGTAATTCTTGGTGGGGAATGAGCACGTGGCCATAGGGCATCTGGGACTGTGTGTCTAGAGCTGACCTTCTTCTAGATTGTGTGTCTAGAGCTGACCTTCTAGACTGTGTGTCTAGAAGATGGAAATGGATCTTGTCACTTCCACAAAATCATAAGCATGGGAACCACAGCAGCAATCCACCATAACCTAGAACTGACACATTTGAAACTGGTTATACCAGTGAGGTATTCTGTGTAACCAGGTAATGTACTATGCCTACTAAACAGTCCGGTTTGTGAATGAAGTGCTTTGATTGGTTGAGGTGGGCCAAAAATGGTCTCCTGTGCCATCCCACCCATTCTGGGATGTAATCTTCCTAGAAAGCAAAGCTCTGGGCAGAGCTCTTGCTCGCTGACATTGGCAAAGAGAAAAGGTGGTCCGGGACAGGAGTATTACTGTTATAAACAATGGAAGATGCAGAGAGTTCCCAGAAAGGAAGCTGATGGGAACGGCCCTTCAGCTGAGCCTTATCAGGAAAGATCCAGAATCATGGCCTGAGGGGGCGAGTGAGATATTCAGAAGAGCTTCCTTGGAAGAGACCATACATCATGGGGAATGTGAGGTCAGCACTAAAGGGAGAGAGCCTTAGGTTCCTCTCAGATCCCAGAATACTCAGAGAGTTATAGTGGCCCCATAGACAGCATGGGGCCTTGAAGGGAGAGGGAGCCTTCAATGCCATAGGACATCTGATTCATAGGCAGTTTCTGATTCTTAGGGCTTTTTACAGGATTGGGGGGGAGGGGGTAAGTTCCATACTATGTGACCTGCCTAGCCTCTATGCCATGAGTCAGGATGGAGACAGGCACTAGATAAGAGTCACAATTCAAAGCAGTCTTGGGTCTAGGCACCAGGAAGCTGGACTTGAGCACAGTTGCAAAGCAGAGGAAGAAGTTTCAAGTCTTTGTAAGAGCTTCAAGGTCATAGCTCTGTAGTTAGGGAGAGAGAGGAAGGGGGGAGGTCGAGAAAGGGAGGGGGACAGAGCTGCACTGAGGAGGCAGGGTGGCTGATGTGGGGGAGAGAGCAGAAGACAGAGGATGTGTGATCTAACAATCAGCATCCTGTTGTAGGGCCATACTCTGTTTATCTCTCCATCAGTCGATAGGAAACTGTGCCTACATACTTTCTGACTGCTACATAGACTGCTGCTCTGAACATTCATATATACATTTTTGTTTGAATGCATGTTTTCATATTTCTTGGCTGGAATTGCTATGGCACGTGATAATTCTTTTTAACCCTTGGGAATCCGCCAACCTTTTCCTTGTTTGCTATTCCATTTTATGCTCTCACCAGGAACGTACCATCTTAGTGAGTACGAAGTGATGTCTCCATTTGGTTTTGACTTTAATTTCCCTGGTGGCTGGTGAAGGGTTCAGTTGTTATACTTGTAAGCTTAAGTATGCATTAAAATCCTATTTGTTATGTTTTATGTCTCAATATTGTAGCAGGCACACCCAGAATGCTTTTCTTACCATGCTTTGGTTAGAGTATGTCCCTCAGAAGTCATGGCTTGGAAACTTAGTCCAAAAACTCGTATGTTAAAGGTATTTGGAAGTACAACCTGTAGGAGGTTACTGGATCAATGAAAAATTAGATCAATGCATTTATAGATGAATAGGTCCCCAAGGAGTTTGATTAGCTCTCATGAGCCCCTTACCACGTGCTGCGTGAACTACTCTGGGACCCTATAAAGGACTCCCCTGCAACAAGAAGAGCCTCCCCAGATGTACACCCTCGATCTTGCTTTCCCATCCTTTGGAACCATAAGGAAAAAAAGTTCTGTTCTTTATAAACTACCCGGTCTCTTCCAAACATGGTGACTTTTGCCTGGAATCCTATCTCATGGGAGGGGGAACCAGGAAAATCAGGAGTTCAAGGCCTAGTCCAAGCTTCTGTTCGGCCTGGTTAAAATCCACTTCAAAATGAAATAAATGCTGCACTGGTTAGTTTGTGACATCTCGATACACATTAGGGCCCTCTGGGGAGATTCTTCATCTGAGAATTTCCTGGGTCAGACTGGCCTCGGGCCATGTCTGGGGGGGCTGACTTGACTGTTGATTGATCTGAGGGGGCTCATCTCATCTCACCGTGGGTAGTGCCACCCCTAGCAGGTATAAGAAAGCAGGCTGAGCACAAGCTGGAGGAAGCAGGCCAGTAAGCGGCTTTCCCCTCTTGCTCCTGCTTCCAGGTTCCTGCCTTGAGTTCCTGTCCTGTTCCCTTGGTGACAGACAATGAGTTGTCCCTTTCCTCCCCAAGTTACTTTTATTTATTTATTTTTTTTTAATTTAAATTTATTTATTTATTAAGGATTTCTGCCTCGTCCCCGCAACCGCTTCCCATTTCCCTCCCCCTCCCCCGATCAAGTCCCCCTCCCTCATCTGCTTGAAGAGCAATCAGGGTTCCCTGACCTGTGGGAAGCCCACCCAAGTGACTTTTAATCATGACATTTCCCACAGTAACAGAAAGCGAATTAGGACAGGGCACTTGGGAAATGGCTCAGCTACTGAAGTGCTTGCCAGGAATACATGATGACCTGAGTCTAGATCCCTAACACCCACAAAAGTGTCAGACACAGCGCTGCATATCTGCAAGTCTGGTGTTGGGCTGAGGGACAGAGAGAAGCGGATCCTGGAGCACCAAAGAAGCAGGGGCACAGGGAGCAGCGGCGGCCATTGTTCTAGTCACGGGATGGAGGACAGCCTGCACGTCCGAACCAGACCCTCTCGCCCATCTCCTGTTACAGCCATAAATGGAACTGAACAGGCCCCGAGTGGCCCTGCTCTTCTGCCTCTTGCAGAGTCTCTACCCTCGGATTGGACAGTGGCTTCTTGAAGGCAGCCCCCGTGGTCCCCTCAGAATGCAATTAGGATGATCCAGCTGGAGACAGTCAAGTGTGTACTTTCACAAAGAGACAATCTGGATTTAATTAGGGAGAGGATTCCACTAACCCATTATTCAGTCAATTGAAAGGCCCTCTAACCTGAAGATTTGGAAATGCAAATGAAGGCAGATCCAGTCGGAGTGATTTTTAATATCTGCGCATCCGAGGGCCAGATTACAGCTCCCTCCGCATGCGCAGCCAATTCTCTCTAAACCTTTCCCCAGTAATTACTGTAAAAAGCTTTGAGATACCTTGAGCATAATCACAGTTCCGGGAAAACACATTAGACAGCACATTAATTACACCAACTGCCGAAAATACAGGGGGCGGGGCAAACAATTCCGTAAGGGTTAGGGCTGTGGGACAGCCCAGATGAAACAATGTACTTCTGCCCAGAAAAACTGCAAAAGCAGGGCATCTGGGGAGACCGTCACCTAAAACCCACATGGTCACGGGAGAACACTGCTGACGGCCTGATGGTCACGGGAGGATTCAGCAAAGCTGCTGAGCACAGCTCGGGCTGAGGCAAGGAGGAGCACAGCCAGATCCTGCAGGAGCATCTGCTGTGATGGGGGCCGGGTGGGGGTGAGCCATAAAAAGAGTCATGCAGGGGCCGGGGAGGCAGTTGGTAAAGTACCTGCAGAATAGGTATGGGAACTTGAGTTCAGATTCCCAGCTTTCACATAAAAAGCAGCAGGGGTGCTGAAGACAGGTCCCCCGAGCTCCATGCTTAGGAAGGAATGCTGTTTAAAGAATAAAGTGTCGAGCCATTCAGGAAAACAACCGACATCAATCTCTGTGCTCCACATGCACACTCACTTCGTTTTGCACACTCACTTCGTTTTGCACACTCACTTCGTTTTGCACACTCACTTCATTCGAATACTCACCTTCGTGTACATATCCCCATCACATACACAGACGCAAAGCTTCATGGAGTTTTAAGGCAAACTTCACAAAATGTCATCACAAAGGGAGCCTTAGGGTGGTGAGACAGCTAATCGGGTTAAAGGTGCTTGCTCACAAGTCTGAGGACTTGAGTTCGATCCCCAGGATCCACGCGATGGGAGGAGAAAACTATCTTTGGCAAGTAGTCCTCTGGCTTCCACACGTGTCATGTGCCTCTGAAAAAATAATGTAATTTTTTTAAAAGAGAGTTTTGATATACTCACGCATGAACTGTGCGCTGAAGACTCCGCTGGCTATGCTGGGAAATCTTCTGTTCTTCTCTCACTCGTCAATTCCCGTATGCCCCTCAAGACTTAGTTCAGGAGTTAGCTGATGGAGCGGTTAGCCTACTCTGAGATCTCCCTCCCCCTGCAAGGTCGTATGCTGACCACGGACCTCCCTGTGAAGGAAATGAGACCTTTTTCAGCACCAGCCATCCTGTCTCGTCCTTAACCTCCATCCTCCTCAACAGTCCTCCTAGATTCAACCAGTGACCAGGCGGTACCGTGTCGGATCCTCATGATGTCACGTCTGAGGTTAGACACTGTGGACGTCTGTGGACAAGAGCCATTTCCTGCCTCTCAGAGCATGTACTCTGTATCTTTTAGGTGCTGTTCTTCACTAAGGGCACTCAGGTCTTAAATTAAGGAGAACCTGTCTCTCCAGAAGGGCCAGCCAGGGAGAATGGAGCAAGGCAGAGCAAGAGGAACAACTCCACCACCTAGAGTCTCAGGAGCACATAGAAACTGCTGGAGTTTCAGTGTTAGGACGCCAGCCACAGCTCCTCACACTGCCTGAATCGTGAGGTGGGCCAGGCTCCTAGGAAAGAATGCTCCTTCCTTGCCGGCCCTCATGAGCATCCAGGCTACGTGGACCACGGTACTTCACTTTTGGGGAGCTGAGCTGGCATCTGTGCTGGGAGAAATGTAAAGTAGGCTGGAAAGAACATTCACAACAGGTGGGAGGTCTGGACTCTATTCCGGGGCTGATTATTACCCCTGACTGCTGGGGACATGCTGTTTAAAGCTCTCTAGTTTAACTTCCTCTTCCGGTAATGGGGATGAAAGAAAGACATCTGACTTGCTAGATGGAGTGGACCTGCGCCAGAAGGCTTCTTGTATTCCTTTCCAAACCTAATGTGTATTATTTTATACCTTTTTATTCTAAAATGCACCACCACAGGGAAGAACAGAGCATGAACAGAGGCTTTAATCATTCCTACTGGCCACGCAGGTCATCAGTGCAGCTCACGGAAGATAGTATCTACAGTTCTGCTTCTTATTCACAACCAGGTTTCCTCCCTAACAGGTACGCTTACCCTGGTAACCATGGCACTCATATCCTACGGAAGAGTGCAAGTCTGTTTAGACACAGTAGCTCGGCTTGATAGCCTTCAAAACAGAATATAGATGGAATCATGCAGAAGATGTTCATTTGAGCAAGGCTTATTTTGTTTAAAATTACGTTTATGAGATTCAGCTGGTTTCATTTTGTTGCCATCTACCGTTCTTGTGTACGGACATACCATAGTTTATATATTCTACTATTGGGAGCATGAACCCAGTCTGCGGATACCACAGGCAATATTGGAACTTTTGCCTTCATACATTCTTCTAAGAAATTTTGGGGTCATTGATTATGTTTGTCTTCAACTTCATGAGCAAATTATCGAAAGTAGTGGTGCCAATTTATCCTCCCATAAACAATGCAAGAGAATCCCTCTTTTACCCCACACTGCCTGTGGTGATTTGAATAGGTATGGCCCTCATAGACTCATGTGATGTGGTATGTCCTTCTGTATATGTGTTGCTTTTATTGGTTAATGAATAAAGCTATTTTGGCCAATGGCTTAGCAGAGTCAGGCAGAAAATCCAAACAGAGATATAGAAAGAGAGTAGGCAGAGTCAAAGAGACACCATGTAGCTGCCAAAGGAAAAAAACATGCCAGAGTCTTAGAAACCTTACTGGTAGGCCACAGCCTTGTGGCGATGCACAGATTAATAGAAATGGGTTAATTTAAGATGTAAGAGCTAGCTAGGAATATGCTAGAGTCATTGGCCAGACAGTGTTGTAATTAATATAGTTTTGTGTGATTATTTGGGTCTGAGCAGTCAGGAAACAAACAAGCAGTCTTTGCCTACACTCATGTGTTTGAATACTTGGTCCATAGGTAATGGCATTATAGGAGGTGTGGCCTTGTTGTAGGAAGTAAGTCACTGTGGAGGTGGGCTTTGAGGTCGCATAAGCTCAAGTCTTCCCAGTGTGACACAGACCTCTGCTGCCTGCTGATCAACATGTAGAACTCTCAGCTCCTTCTCCAGCACTATGAATGTCTACATGTTGTCATATACACCATGATGATAATGGACTAAACCTCTGAAACTGTAAACCAGCCCCAATGAAATATTTTTCTTTAAAAGAGTTGCCATGGTCAAGGTGTCTCTTCACGCAATAGAAACCCTAACTAAGACACTGCCCAATGCCAAGTGCTGTCAAGTTTTTAAAAGCTCCATTCATCTGATAGCTAGAATCCCACTGTGACTTTTCTTTGAAGAAAAGACTGGATCTCTTTCTTTTTTTTTTCCAAAGCAGGATGACAGTGCTTTATTCTTGAATATTTTCATTGTTTGCAAAAACCCCTTCAAAAAAAAAAAGGAAAAGAAATAAAAAGGCAAAATACTTTTTCTGGGACCATTCCCATTGTCAGTTCTCTGATCCAGATCTGAGTTACTGGACAATCTCATCTTATCTACTCATTTATAACTGGATTGGACAGTTGAGAAATTAAATTTAGTACTTTGAAAGTAATGTATATAAAGAGATGTTTTCAAGCCAAAGTTTCAACTGTTCACATTGAAAATATTATTAATTCATTAAAAACCTAAAATACTATTTTAAAATTTATTTTTGAAAAATTATTATTAATTATATAAAATCAGAAGAAGCAAATAAATTTGAAGAATAATTGTTATCTTTTATATTTCACTCAACTGACTGTTATCATTATTAATTATAAGTGTAGAGTATATGTAATTGAATTTTCCACATATATTAATAAATTTAAATAAAGATATGTATAGGTGCCATTTTTATTTAACTATAAGAAAATTCATAAAAACATGACTCTATAACTCACTTAAGAGTAGCAGACTAAAGAGAAAGTAATTTATGAAGAATGGATCTCTTTCTTTAAATATATTTACTGTTGGGGCTCTGTGATGGTCCTGGTTTTCCTATTTTATAAACTTTTCATCCATCTCCCTCCAAACTCCCCCCGACTCATTGCTTTATTCCAGCTCCCAACTTGAGGAGGTGTTCACTGGAAACCCACAGGCCATTCGAGATCTGGCTCTACCACTCTGAGCATGTAGCCAAAGGACACTTCATTCTACCACAGAGACACCTGCTCAACTATGTTTACTGCTGCTCTGTTCCTCATAGCTAGAAGTCGTAAACAGCCCAGGTGTCTTTCAACAAAAGAACAGATAAAGAAGTTCATTGAAAAAATGAAATCATGAAATCAATTCACAGGTTACAATTCAATGGATACAACAAGAAAAGAATCATCCTGAGTGAGGTAACCCAGACTCAGAAAGACAAACATGGTATGAATTTGCTTATATGTGGATATTAGCTGTTAAGTCAATGGTGACCAAGCTACAATATGTAGAACCAGAAGTTAAGTACAGAGTAAAAGACTATCAGGGGGAACAGATAGATCTGCCTAGGAAAGAGAACTAGAACAGATAGATATGGATGAGGGGCTAGAGTGGGAGGAGGAGGGGAGAGAGAGAGAGGAGGAAGGGAATATGGGGTGGGAGCTAAAATCAAGGGACATTTGATGGATAGTATGTAAACCTAACACAGTAGAAGTTTGCATATATATATATATATATATATATACACACATATATAATGTGTGTGTGTTTACACACACACACACACACACACACGGAAGGTAATCTAAATGAAATTGCCAAATAACAGAAGATGCAGAAACCCAACTAGCCATCTCTTGTCAACAAAAGAAGCTTCCACTCCGGGGATTGGTGTTACATCCAATTGAGCTGTTGGCCAAAGGTGTCCCATGGGAATCCTCAAACAGCCCAAGCTCTTGTCAAGTCTATAGGTTAGTCTCCACAAACTTATAGCAAGTCCTCATTGCTGAAGATAACACCTACACAAGTCAGTGAACATGGAGAAATCAAAGTGGTGCCTCCATAGAGCCTTCACTCCTACATTGGATCGTCTCTGGTGCGGGAGATACTCTATACTCTACTAAAGGAGAAATATAAGCGCAACACCAGCCACAACCCTTCTGATCTACAATGGTGTCCTGCCCGAAAAATACGCTAGTGCAATGGTGGCTAAAGCTTGTGGGAGCAACCAAACCATATCTGATTGACTCAAGGCCCACTCCATAGGATGGAGCCCATACTCAGCACTGCATGGGTGGTCAAGAACCTGAGACTAGACAGCCCAGGGACTTAGGGGAAAACTAAACGTTACTGTCCTAAAAAAAGGGAGTGATAAAATGACTCCTAATGACAGTCCACTGTATTCATAGATCAGTGTATTGCTTGCCATTGTCAGAGATGCTTCCTCCTCAAACAGAGGTAAACAAACAGATTCAAAGCCAGACTTTATGCAGAGAGTGAGAGACCTTGGAACACTCAGCCCTAAATGGGATGTCTCCATCAAATCCCTCCCCTCAGGGCTCAAAGCCTGAGGAAGAAGAGGCAGAAAGAGTGTAATAGCCAGACAGGGAGGAGGACACCAAGAAAATAAGACCCTTTCAGTCAATATGATCTCACACCTCAGAAGGCAAGGACACAGAAGTAGCATGCATGGGGTCTGCACCAGTTGGGGTGCTAGAGCTGAAGGGGTAAACGGACACATGTTCCCATCCCTAACCCAGAAGTGATCTCCAGTTAATAACCACTTTCAAATGAAAATTTAGTTTCCTCCAAGGGAGTCTCACTGAGGAAACAAACTACTTTTAAGGGTGTACCCGCTGCAGGCCCAGCCATAGATGGCCAACAGAAGGCGAACTTAATGGTATCTTTGGAGGTTCCTTGTCTCATAATGTCTTTCAAGGCTTTTCTTTTTAATTTTATCTTATTAATATATATACATATATTCTTCTCTCTTTATACTCTATAGGTCCTTTGTGCAT